TATATATATATATATATATATATATATATATATATATATATATATATATATATATATATATATATATATATATATATATATATATATATATATATATATATATATATATATATAATATATATATATATATATATATATATATATATATATATTATATATATATACATATATATATATATATACATATATATATATATATATATATATATATATATATATATATATATATATATATATATATATATATATATATATATATATATATATATATTATATATGCAAAGATTTGTAATATTTTTGCTGTAGAAATAGGTAAATGAATAAATAAATTGTATATATTTTGTTGTTCCTGTGTTGTTTCATTCAATTTTATGATTTTTCCATCATGGGTTGTATAAATAGTTATTAAGATTATTTCTTATGTTGACACCTTGTTACTGTGTTGTTTCATTTAAATTGATATATACATTATATTATAATGTTTATATGATGCATACATGTTCATTATATATATATATATATATATATATATATATATATATATATATATATATATATATATATATATATATATATATATATATATATATATATATATATATATATATATATATATATATATATATATATATATATATATATATATATATATATATATATATATATATATATACTATATATATATATATATATATATATATATATATATATATATATATATATATATATATATATATATATATATATATATATATATATATATATATATATAGTTTTGCCTGGTAGTCACAAAGTTTTTCCCATAAACTGTTGTTTTAAAGAGCGCGTTATTAAGCCTGACCAGAAAATATTAAAAAACTTCATAAATTTTTTTTTTTTTAATGTTAGACTACCTGCCCAAACCAAACCCTCAGTCGATGTAGCAGCACTCCCTTGCGAGTCAGGCAGTTTGTCAGTCGATGTAACAGCACTCTATTTCAACTCAGGCTATAAGATAGTTGTTGTAGCAACACTCCCTTGTAGCAGCAAGCTATAGATAGTCAATGTAGCAACAATTACGGATGTTTTAAAATTTTTTTTTAATAAAAGAAAAAAAAACGCCACTAATTAAAAAAAACTTTCTAGTCATTATTATTGCGTTTTTTTAAAAAACAATAAAATTTAATGTACTTCTGCATTAATTTAATTTCTTTGACATTTCGACAATAATAAAATGCAGCTTAAGAATTTATACATATAATTTATATATATATGTTCTAACTAGGTCCTGGTTAAAATAAGAAACGCTAAAGCTTTGTAATTTAATTGATGAACTTTTGCTTATGCCTTGATAGTGATTTGGTCTGTGCGTAATAGCTTCTTTGTACTTATTAATATGTACTGCCTCAGAAGCTTAAACTCAGTTTTATGGTTCTGAGGTTTTTCAAACTCTCTGAGAAGCTGATTTTATCCATATCTGCAAATATCAGAGTCTTAAGAGTTTCATGTTGTCTAAAGTAATATTTTCTTTGTTGATTCTAACCTTCTTTAAATTCACAAGACTAACTTGCTCTTTCTAAGACTATTTTAAAATGTGCTCTTTCATCCTCTAATTTTAATGTTGATAGGGATTATCATTTATTTTAGAATGACTGTAATAGATTATACTTGCTTATTAATTCATGAAATCAGATTTGTTCAGACCTGTACTAATAATATACTTACTCATGCTTGTATGGAGATCTAGTCCAAATAGGTTTTTTTTGCGACAAATTATAAAGACCACCGCAAATAAAATTAAAAAAACTGACACAGGAACTACGATTCCAACAATGATTTTTATTGTTTTGTCTAAAATACACTAAAAAAAGTAAAACAGAATATAATATTTTAAAAATATAAATGTAATATAAATATTGGTCAAACATTTTATAAATATAAACTAAAATAAACCCAGCGGGCACAGACGTCAATCAAACGTCTTACGGACGTCTTAAATAGGTCGCGACGTCTCAGATACAATTAGGACGTCCAAAAGACGTCCGGTAAAGACGTCTTTGTTAGGACGACCTTGTGACGTTAATATAAAGACAATATTAGGACTTCCATATTTAGACGTCCTATTGACGTCGCAAAGACCTACATTAGACGCCATATTTATCTTAGAAATAAGTAGAAAAATTAACATTATCAACTTGGCGCATACAATATTATGGGCTAACTCGGTTAATTAAATATGTCTACTTGTATTGGTTGATTAATTTGAGAATATTAATTTTGTTTAGTTATTTATTGTTTAAAGTTACTTTTTAATTTTCTATATTCTATACTCTATGATCTATAAACTATATTCGATACAATATTTAAATAAAAAAAAATTGAGTTTATATATATATATATATATATATATATATATATATATATATATATATATATATATATATATATATATATATATATATATATATATATATATATATATATATATATATATTTATATATATTATATATATATATATATATATATATGTATATATATATATATATATATATATATATATATATATATATATATATATATATATATATATATATGTATATATATATAATATATATATATGTATAAATAAATATATATATATATATACATATATATATATATATATATATATATATACATATATATATATATATATATATATATATATATATATATATATATATATATATATATATATATATATATATATATATATATATATATATATATATGCAAAGATTTGTAATATTTTTGCTGTAGAAATAGGTAAATGAATAAATAAATTGTATATATTTTGTTGTTCCTGTGTTGTTTCATTCAATTTTATGATTTTTCCATCATGGGTTGTATAAATAGTTATTAAGATTATTTCTTATGTTGACACCTTGTTACTGTGTTGTTTCATTTAAATTGATATATACATTATATTATAATGTTTATATGATGCATACATGTTCATTATATAATATATATATATATATATATATATATATATATATATATATATATATATATATATATATATATATATATATATATATATATATATATATATATATATATATAATATATATATATATATATATATATGTATATATATATATATATATATATATATATATATATATATATATAAATATATATATATATATATATATATATATATATATATATATATATATATATATATATATATATATATATATATACATATATTAATATATATATATATATATGTATATATATGAGTGTGTGTGTGTGTGTGTATGTGTGTGTGTGTGTGTGTGTGTGTGTGTGCGCGCGTTTGGGTATAGGTAGCGATTCTTTACAGTTTTTTGCGTTAGACAAAAACCCTATAATTTTTTTGAACATCACTTGTTTATGTATTCTTTTAAGGTTAAGCATGAAACTTGAGATTTTTTGCATTATTCAGTTTAAATCTAACTCTTCTCAACCATATATAGAAATACTATTTACTATTTACTACTTTATATTATACTATTTACTACTTTATATACTATTTATATGGCTTTACTTATATATTTTATTTTTCAAAGTTTCCTAAAAAATTTATATTCCAACTTGCTAAAATGAAAAAAAATTTTAGTAAATAGAACTGCACTGTTCTCTAATAATCCAGAAGAAGGTTTTAAACAACGTAAAAGTTTAGATAAACTTATCGTTTGAAAAAAAAAATTCGCAAATGAAGATATCCAATACATCACTTTTGTATACATGAGTTTCATCTTTAAAGTTTGTATGTTATATATTATTACAATATTTATTTTAAATTGTCATAAACATTTTCAATGTTTCTTATACATTGTTTCTTTTTAGATAAAACAGTTATCATTAATTGGCGATAAAAATCTAGCTGATACAATTAAAAATAATTTGCTATTGTAAGTATTTAGCAAAAATTTGAATTTTAAAATTTATGATTGACAGTAGAGCATTTATCTTCTTTTTATATATGTAGACTGCCAACAGACACTATTTTGTCAGAAACATGAGTTGTCTAAAGAAGAAAAAAAAGTTTAAAGAGTTAGCAAGTCTAAGTAACTCTCTCACTGGTAATCTTATTAGCTTATTAATGTGTTTGATTAATTAAAAATTAAAAATGATGTTTTAATTAAAAAGAAAAAAAAAATTTTTTTTAGCTCTGGAACATGACATGTATTCAAGTGTATATATGACATATATATTTTATTTTATAATCTTATTGAAACATGTTTTGTTGTTTTATTAGAAGCTGCTTTAAAGTCAAATAATAACTTAACCAAAATGGATGCTATCCAACTTATTGGGAGAGTAATTAGGCATTCTTCTGACCGAATAAAGAAAACATCGACTAATATGGATTTCGATCAATGTCTGCTTAACTAAACTGTTGTATTTTTTATTTTTATTTTCCATTTTTAAGCAATTTTCTTCTATTTATAATGCACTATCGATTATATTATACTGTACCTATAAGTTTTTTATTTGAAAAATGTAACTTTGTTTGAAAAATTATTCTTATTTTTTGTAAAGTTATTAATTTATTTTAAATATATCAAATTACACTTTATTTACATTCATTTCTTTTTATAACTTCCTTTGCCTAGATTAAGGCAAATCTAAAGTGTGTGTTGTAAATCATTGCATTTTTATATAACTTTTAAAAGAATGTCTTGGTAAAATTCAAACGTCTCTAGGACGTCTGAAAAAGACGTCCTTATATCTTTCATATGAGACCAGCCAGAGACGTCTCTAGAACGTCTGCAAAAACGTCTCTAGGACGTCTTGAAAAAACGTCTTTAGGACGTCTGGAGTAGACGTCCTCAAGCCTTTCATTTAAGACCAACTAAGGATGTCTTACGGACGAGACTTAAGACGTCTTACGGACGTCCTTAGGACGTCAAAATGCCCGCTGGGGAAGATAGGAACAGAAGAAACAATATTAGAATTGACGGTGTACGAGAAAATGAAAAAGAAACAT